CCATCACTATGGGCAATAATTTCCAAAATCTCATTAAAGTGCATTTATCAAAGCCCTAACATGTGCCCTCCGGCTCTGCCATAACCCCGCCAGCCCCCAGGGAGCGGGGGTAAAAAAAATCCCAATTTCTATGACAATTCGCCACCTCGGGAGGTTGGCTGCGGGGCAGATCCAGATCTGCAGATTTATAAGGAATATCGGTGAATTGGAAGGATTTCTCCGCCTTTGAAGCTTCGGGGGGAAGGAGATAGAGTAATCGTGAGAATAGGGAAGCTCATTGAGATTCCTATGTCCTGGAGAAGAATTAATTGTCTGCTGGAGAAAGGCAGGCCAGGGCCGGGATTTTGGGGGGCGGCGGGGACTTTCCCTGCAGCTTCCACAGGGAAGGCTGATGCTGTTCCCTTTCTGCGTGCAGGGGGATCTTCCACCCTTTTTTCCCCCCTTTTTTCCTTTTTTTTTTTTTTTCCCTTTCCCCCCCAAAAACATCCTTAACGCCTTTGTTAATGCCATTTTTCCAGCCAGGAAAAGAGACGGGAATTTCGCCCCGCAGAAACTCCGTTACAATTAAGTTCCTGAAAGCGCCGGAGGATTCAGGGGGCTCTGGTTCCCCCTTGATTTTGGGAATTACGATTGTTTTGCGCTCCCTCCGTCCCCGGCCGTGCTGCCGGTGTGGAAGGCATTCCCGTGGCGTGGGCTCCGTGCCCGCAGCCTTTCCCACGGCCTGGCGTGGCCGGTCCCCTCCGAGCCGGGGCCGCCGCCGAGCAGCAGCATCTCCGCTTCAGGGCTGGAAAATGCGATTTAAACCCCTCCGAGGGGAGCTCTCGGGGACGGGGGGTGTGGGTTGTTGCGCAGCAATCGTTTTACTCCGCTTTTTTAATTTTTATTTCGGTTTTTTTTTGTCGCCGAGAAAAGCTGTCCCCTCTAATGTCGCGGCTCTCCTTTCCCCCCGCCACACTTAAAAACAAAGAGGGTGTTACTTACAGGGGTGCTCCCGAGGTGAAGCTGCTCAGAACAATTATCGGGACATGGGCTGCTCTTCCCTTTCCCTATTCATTCCAAGTGGATCTCATGCTAAGAGATAAAAATCAACCTGTCCCCTAACAAAGGCTTTGTGTGGGCTCCGCTAATCCGGGCCGAGCGGCAAGGTGCAGCCCCGCTCGGTTTGTTTGTTTGCGGGCCGGAGGGAAGGAAAAACAATATCTCGCACCTTTGGGCTCGTCAAACAAAAAAATTGATCCACTTCTCGACTGCTGCCGGAGCTGCGGCGCGGGGTCGGTGCGGGCAGGGAGGGGAGGGAGAGCGGCAGGCTCCCGCCAAACACCCTTTACTTCGTTCGCATATAGATTATATATTATTGTATTTTACAATGCTACATGTTATGTTGTATTATACATAATATACGTGTAGGATGTCGCTCGGCAGGGAAGGAAATGGAGTTGGGGTGTCGGTGGCTAAAAGCAGAGGGGGAGCCCCGGCGCCGTGCGAGGAGCGGGACCCTCAGGCCGCGGCCGGGAGGAGAAACGCGACGAAACCTCTTAAAAACACAACCCACGGGCCGCTCGTGGCGTGGCGAGACCCGCTCGGTCGCCCTCTGCCACCCGAGTCGCCTGCGCGCCCTGCGGGTCCGCGGGGGCCGAGCCCACGCGTGTCCTGGGCACGGGGAGCGGCCCGGGGAGGCCTCTGTCCCTCTCGCGTCCGCACCGGGGGTCGCTTCCCCTCTCTTGAGAAGTACAAAAATACGCGTTAACGCCGCTGACCCCACGCATGCCGTCCGTGGGGCGGGGAGGCCTCTCCCCACGCAGCGGGTGTTGGAGCGGCCCGGGATTGCAGGCAGGGGAACAACCCCCGTGGGCAGAGCCGCTCGTCCCCGAGAGCCAACGCTCAGCCCGAGCTCCCGCACCGCCGCCTCCCGTGGGCTGGTGCCACCGGCCCGGCCGGGGTGACCCCCTCGGGAGAGGGTCGGGAGGGCACCCCCGGACCTCCCCGAGCCACCCCTGCCCTGCCCCCGCTCTCCCCGGCGCTGGAGCGTCCCCCCCACGCGTGGGAGCGGACGGGCGGGCGCGGGGTGACCGCGGGGGGAGAAGGCACGGAGGGAGGTGGGGGACGCTCCCCCGGCTCTATCCCGACAGCCGCCGGGCCGCCGTCGGGTTTTCCCCCCACGCAGCGCGGCTGTGGGTGCGGGGGTCGCGGGGGCTGCGACCCCCCTCTGACGTCAAAGGGCTCTTACGTCAGCCCCCCGCCGGTGACGTCACGGTGCTCCGGGACTCTCGCTGGGTGCGCAGAGATGTCCGCGCGTGGGGGTGAGGGGGGGCCGTGACCCCCGGGGCTGTGTCCGACCTCTCCTCCCGTGGGCATCTCCCGCTCCCGCCGCCCTCGGGCTCTGCGGGACCCTCTGCCAGAGCCTGTTCGAGTTCGGATGGGGAGTTTTTAATCGCTGTTACCCTTATTAATATTATTATCATTATTTAAAGCCCGGCCCGCGCCGCCCCGGGGATGATCTGCCCGTCCCTCCCCACGCTTGGCTTCTGTCGGGGTTCTCCGTCCCGCCGCTGTCGCGATCGTCACTGCTATCCCTGCTCTTTTTTTCCTCTCGGTGGAATTAAACCCCATCCTATCCCAGTCGAGCCGCCCTCCCCGCTCCGGGGGCCCGAATAAATCCGTCGGTAACCCCAAGATTTGCTGGGAGTTCGCTGTATTCGCCCGGTGCGAGGGGAAGGAAGCGGGGCGGGGGGGGGGTGGCTCTCCCGAAGGGGTTCCCTCGATATCGAGGAGGACTCCGCAATGGATGAAGAGATAGCCATTGAGTGCGGTTGAATACCATGACAACTAGGAACAACCTCAGATTTATTCCCAACAGTTAGGGCGCGCTGAAAGAGGGCGTCAATCACGTATTATTTCGCCACTGAAATAAATGCAAAAACTGCGCCGAGACAAAGGGTTCCAACAGGAGCCGGACATTTGTCTACATTGCGGACATTGTCCCCAGCTTAGCCGTCGGGTTGTATTTGTGTTTGCGCGGGGCCGACCACCCAGGATGCGCGCAGGGGCTCGCTTAAAAAAAAAAAAAAAAAAAAAAGGGGGGGGAAATCCCTGGGCATTGTCAGCCACATCACATACTTTATGGGAGGCAGGCTGGGGGCTGGGGGAGGAAAGATGGGGGGAGCGGCGAGGGAGAGGAGGGGAAGGTGCGAATCCATTGATGGGCGCAGAGGAGGATGACTGAGAGAGCGTCTTCCCACCGCGGCCGGCGGCGTTACGGGTCCTTCCCCCTGGAAGAGAGGTTCGGGCAACTTTTCTCTCCCAGAAATGAGGGGAAATTCCCAGATTATAGAAATCCCCCCCCCGCGCCCACCCCGCGCATCTCCATCATCCCCGCGCACAGGCCCGTCCCGGGGCGTTCGGGGAAGGGGCAGGGACAGGGACGGGGAAAAGGAAAGGAAAAGAAAAAGGAAAGGGAAAAGGGAAAGGGAAAGAGAAAGGGAAGAGGAAAGGGAAAAGGATGGAAGGGGAAGGAAGGAGACGGGGAAAAGGAAGGCAGCCCGGGCCGTGCCCGGTGAGGGTGCGCATGGCCGAGGCTCCTCGGCGGGTGCAGGAAAGGAGAGAAGGAAGAAAACGAAAATAAAAGTTGGTGGCAGACAGATAGAAGTTGTGAGAAGGGGTAGAGGGGATCCTGCACCCCGCGCCGGGCAGGGGGAGCCCCCACGGCCCCTCCGCCGCGACCCGCGGCCGGGGATGCTGCGGGGCTCCGCGGGGACGGAGCCGAGCGCGGAGGGGGGGGTGTGCGTGACACCTGGGGGGCCGGCCTTTCTTTGGGGAAGGAACCCCTTCTTTGCCCCCCCCCCGCTCCTTCCTTCCCGAGGTCCTGAAAAAGAAAGGAAAAATGTAGAAAAGAAAAAAAAATAATTCAGTCATGTATCAGAGTCCATCGGGCTGCAGCCCATCGAATTATCCAAACGGGCTGGATTTATTCCCCTGGAAGAAGGAGGCAAAATCAATGAGACCTCTTCAAATAAACACACACACACACACACCCCCCCAATAATCACCTCCCGGATCTCGGCGGGTCGCGCCTGACGATCGCGTTTTGCCAGTTCGGTTAATTTCGGAGCAAACTAGAATCAATTACTCGCTGTTTAATTTCCAGCGCTCATCCCTAAGCCCCAACCAAAATATTGACCTAGGCGGGTTAGATAAGTTGGGCTCTTGCCATCTGAGCCGCCTCGGTCCCGCGCGGGGCCGGGAGCGCGTCCCCGCGCCCAAACGCTGCCCGCGGGGGCGCGCAGGCTGGGCCGAGAAGGGGGGGTGGATGTGGGAACAGCCCCCGGCACCCCCCGCGGAATTTTTTTTTTCTTTTTTTTTTTTTTTTTTTTTTGCCTCGCTCGGAAGAAAACATGGGTGGAAAACACACTTTGGAGTGCGCGGAGCGTCGGGCTGGTGCGAAGCTCTTTGTATGTAAATACTGTCCTTAAAAAAAAAAAAAAAAAAAAAAGAAGGGAAGTCGCCCCCTCCTTCCCTCCCTCCCTCCCGCTGCCACACGCGCACACACCCGCGCGAAGGGCCCTCCCCACGCCGGTAATTAACTGACACGTTATACCACTCATCACCAATGGTGGAAGCTCGGAGCTCGCCCAAAACCCGCAATTTCACATCTGCAAACACTGTCTTCATCCACTTGACTTCCAAGACCCGCCCACACGTGGCCAACCTTTCCTGGGTTTAATGTAGGTTTTTTTTCTCCCTCCTCTCGGCAGGTTCATGTGTGGGGACCAGCCTTATATGGACTCCTCGCTCCAGCAATGGCTCGGGATTTTCTAACGGCAGGCGCGGGTTCGGCGCGGCTGAACAAGATCCAGAAGTGATCTTTTTTTTTTTTTTTT